CTCCACAGGCAACCTCCTCCGTCAACGTTCAACTTCGGCTTTTGGGACCCGTCGAGTTCCGTCGAAGAGCCTATCGTGATCGTCGAGTTCCGTCGGGTTCCGTCGGAGTGTTAAACGAAGCCGACGAGTTCCGGACGCCGAGCCGCCATTGTTGCCACCTTCACCCGCGTTCTTTCCAAAACGCAGCAACCGTGCGCCGCCGTACATCCCGTCGACCCACTCCGGCGACCAGTAGCCTTCCTTCGAGCCCTTCGGTCGCTGCCCTCTTGTCCCGGCGAGACACGTTGAGACGTCGAGTTCGTTTGTTATTCCGTTGTTCGTTCTTCGTATCCCCGTCCCGAGAACGGTACCCGAGTTAACCCCTCGACTTAATTTTATAGTTCGTGTTTATGTGGTAGTACTCGTATGTGTGTTACGTTGCTGATCATATGATATTCAAATTAATTACGTGCGTTCGGAATGCTTTCGTTTGTAATTAGGATATATTGTTAATATTGGGTATCAAAGTGATTGCCGTCACTTTGAAAAAATTATCGAACTGAGTTTCGAGTAATATGTTATGTGGAAGTGCTGTGGATTATTGGACTTAGGATTATCCTTGACGCAACTCCTTTGGCCTTGCGTCGTTTCGATGTGTATTGAATTAGTTATGAATTTTTGAAAAACGTGTTGCAGCCGGTTTTTGTTAAAATCACTATAAATGGTGTGTTTATCCAAAAATTTTGATTTTTGGATATGTTATAATGTTGCAATTGTAGTACTTGTGGTTAAAATTTGAGAATTTTATATGGCCTGTAGCCTTGTCAAAACTTGAAAACTAATTCTGTGCTGTTTCGTAATAAATTCATATAAAAATCGAGTTTCTGTCCGATTTTTCTAATTTTTGAATATGTTGTTTTTCTCCAGATTATCTTGCTGCTGTAAAAATTTGAAATTTAAATTTGAGCAGTAGCTATTTTAAATGATTTAATTTGATTTCTGGTCAGATTTTGAGTAAATTATTTAAAATAGTTAGGAGCATGTTAAATGGTTTTCCTTTGGTGAAAATATGTATTTTTCAGCCCTTAACACTCTGTAGAAATTTTAATTGAAATAACCAAGTCCAACTCCCCTTAGCCATATTCTTA